ATTGGATTCAAATTGTAATTTAATTCCATCCATTACAGTAACCTATACTGTACAGCAGAACGACATACACGACTTACCCGCTTTTTTTTTTTTAAATCCATTAGGAATTCGAAAAAAATTGTTGGAAATAAGAATAAATTATATTACAGTACAACCTTTAAGTATTATGTGTATTTATTCGAGGCCCCGTACATCGTAAGGCACATTTAAGGTTTGTTTCAACCCCCCCAAAAACTTCCTCAGAAATTTATTTTAAATTTAAAGTCAAATTTTTTTTAACATAGATATTATTTTGAAAGAACAATTTTTATTTTCAATACAGATTTCTTATAGTACTTAGGTTTTCTCTAGACGGCGATGCATAATTATTTAATTACGCGCTACCATAGCAAACACAATAATATTTTATAATAAATATTTTCATAACCATTATAGTATAATTAAATTTCGCTAATTCAAATTTTTTTTTTGCAACACGAKTATCTCATCTTTATAAATAAAATGTTTTAAAATTGTAATTACGACTTAGAATTATGAATGCTAGAAAGACAAATTATGGCGTAAACTGGAACCCGCAAAAATATAATATCTATTAGTCAATGTTTTTCTATCAGCACAGAAAATATCTTGTATCCTGCTACATTTTGTTTACCAAATATTTATAATCTATACAAAATACACAACGGCCAAATATTATGGTTAATTCCTTAAAATATTAATACACTAAAGTCTCGTTAATCGTCAAATCGTGTTGTCTGATAGGTAATGTTATTGTTGTGAAATTTGGAATTATAATGTATTTATACCTATAACTCTGTTTAAAAAAAAAAATTWAAAATAAACATATCAAAAAATATATCTACATAAACTTGTTTTAATGTACCGAATTTCAGGTACGCCAATTGAAGTCGGTGTCACCATGTACGTGTTGAGCATCAGCTCTTTGTCAGAAGTCAAAATGGTACACACAAAATATTAACACAACACAAAACAATCATGATTTTTTTGTTTATTTTTTTTTTTACATATTTTTTTTTTGTGCCTATATGATAATATAGCGTATTACACCAAACATTTTTTTACGCGTCATTCTGTATCATTGAAAATAAGTAGTGTCTTTACATAATATATTTCTTAAATAAGAGTTGCGTGCTATTTTTTACTATGAATTACTTAACAATATAATAATGATATTATTATACATTATTTTATTTCAAGAAAAAAGTCTTTTTTTTGCGATTGCGATCTTCTATCCGCTTTGTATAACCTACGTATTATTCTCCGCTAGAAAGAACGCTATAGAAGCACGCTGTAGAATCGTCAAGCATTTGATTTAGGCGTATAATATTAAGACGTAAAACAAATTCATACCTATTGATTTAGCAAAACACCGGTTTGAACATGATGTCACACTTCAACACATGTACATAAATTTCAAATAAAATCTATAGATGATCCAAATCGAAGTACATATCATATACGTTACTAGCTAGGTATATAAATTGTAGTATCCATATGATAATTTGCTTTTTTAAATGTATTGTAATCATTATTTTTAACACAACATTAGAACTTATAGATAAGTAACATTTTCTTATAGATWACTCAAGTTGTAAAACATTAGATAACATACTATATATTATAATTCTGACATGTCATGAGGTCATGAATGAGGTATTTTAGCTTTTAAAGGAGTACAATAATTATATGATTGATCGTTTTAAAATAATACAACAGTATAATATCTACATAATATGTCAATACTGGTAATATTAATCGTAGGAAGTGTTGAACATTATTTAGATAAAAATATATAAAAATATTTTTATTTTCATTTTCATCTTATCTAGATAAATTAAAGTATCTTTTATTTATCTTTCTATTAAAATAAAATGATTATCTGAATTAAATTAACTATAMATTTTTTTGTGAAAAAAAAATTCATTTTTATATTTATTGAAGAATTTTTTTTTTTGTGGAGGGTGAAGGAGTTAATGTTCAAAGTTATTGATGATTCACTTATTTTTTATATTCTATTTGTTATTCCTTATTCAATTTTTTTTAGTGTAATCTATCAATTTTAGTCATACCCATATATTTTTAAATGTCCTTAATAAACTGTTTTCCATCCATTTAATTTTCAATTTAAAATTGTTTAATCAATCTTTGTTATTCGGTATCTAATTATATTGATTAATTATTGGTTAAGCGTTTAAATTATCATCTAATCCTATGGAAATATTAATAAAACAATATGTAAAAAATATAACTAAAAACTTTGCCTATTTTTGTACAACTATATAAAGGTATTATATTWTAGATTTTTATGGATGTGATCACAAATGCACACCACATATTAAATTTATAAACTGCATTTTTCTTAGAAAAACTTTCAATACATATTAATTGATAGAACTYGAAATGCTGCTGACATGTCGTTTAAATACAATAAAATTATTATTAATCTACTTTATTGTGTGTCAGTAGGTATATAATATACAATATTACCATACATTTTTTTTTGTACATGTTTGCATATAACCTGTATAACTGACTCTTGGAACATTTTTTTTTTCATTTCACTACTAATTTCAAACATAATATCTCAGCATGATGTAATTATTATTTTTTGTTTTTTAAAGATATAAATAATCATAAAAATATAATTTCCTATATAATACATATAAACACACASGCGTGCACGCATATAATATTACACACACACAGACACATATTATTATTATATCTATCACGAATAAACACATTTAATATGATAAAGAAAAAGAAAAGCTACACGTAAAACGGTGTCACGTGATCGCGTGCAAATAAATTTTCACATTGGGGTAGCCGAGTGGATATTTCAAGCGCACAAATAAAAATGCCAAGGTATTTAATTCTGCCTTCACCCTACATCTATATATATATATATATATTATATACTAGAGTACATAATATACAATATGTATATACCTCCTATATATATATATATACACACTCGTCGGTGTCTGGCACACGCTATGTACCTCAACGCCCCCGAAAACATTACAGGTGTCAGGTCAACGACTATGAACGTGAAAAAACTTTCACAACAATCGCTCCATATTATGTACATGCAATTTGTGYGTTTATCATAAAAGTGATCGCAAACTTAAAATTTTTTTTTACGGTTATTATACTCTTTCCGCATGATATACGGAATTATTATTATCACTTTCGGCAGCGATCATTCAAATTCACTTATTATTATTATTATATGCATTATATACCCACCACTATTATTTGTTATTATGACGTACTATATGTATATAGGCAGTTATATCATGTACCGTAGTATATAATATTATCGTAATAAAAAAAAACATGCACACGCCAAGGCACGATAAAAACTTGATTTTTTTACGCAGTAGGTAATTTACCTTCCGAGAATAATATTTATTGTTATTATTTCCCGTACGTGTGGGTACATATAATACATATTTTATAATAGTGATCGTCTCTATTCGGGGGTCTCCGTTTTCGAATTCGTACGTATTATAGAGGTGTACTTACTGTATAGGGTTAGGGAATCGTTTACACTACCTGTATGATATTGTTTATCATTTTATCATTTTTTTTATCTATTGACATGACATAGAAGTATGCAAAGAGTAAATATATTATAATATGTTATGAAAAATCTAAATCAAACTTATATTTTATAAGTGGTAGATACTTAAATATATTTTTATTATTTTTTTTAATTTGCCTTTTATTAAAAAATAATTATAGCAAGAATAATTAAATATTGTTTTAAATTTATCATTTCATATATATATATATATTTAGAAATTCATATCCAATATAGGAATACTATTTAGTATGAATAGGTATATTATGTTATCATATAATAATTGTTATTAAAGAACATAAAATACATGTAAATTGTTACCAAAAACTTCTCGTAGACCGGGTTGAACTAAAATAAAATAATTTTGTGTGTGTTATTTAATATTATAGTCTGCAATCTGCCGCACCGAAAAATCATCTTTAACTTATCAGTATAGATATATTAATTTTTAATTTTTTAATACTGCAATTGGATTAGATAGCTTTTTGTAATTTAATCATTTCCATTGAAAATTTTAAAAATAAGAAAAGTCAACTATTCCGAAATATTTCCGTGGAATAAATCGAATGGTATAATAATATCCGATAGAATTTTTTTTTTTTAATGACAGTGCCTCACGTGTTAAATTACTTAAATTTTAGTCAGTAATAATATAATTAATACCGTTAAACATTCTGAAATATTTTCATCTACAGTCTAGCAACACACAAATATTCAGTAAAGAAATGTATTATTCAAACGGTAGAAACGCTTTGTTGTAGCGTATAGTAGGGTTGTTGAGCACGCAATATTTTGCATAGTTGTTTCGCGCGTCGTTATTATCATTGTTTTAATTTATTTTTTTATTGTTATTTATCTTTTCACTTGTCCTGTCTAGAACAAAACACGTTAAGTATATGATGATAGCATACGTGCACAATAAATAATTGCAATAGTGAAGGTTGCATCAAATAATAAAACGCATATCATATATATTATAAACATAGGTAATCGTAGTACCTAATAGTTGGCTTTTGTATATTATTATAAATTGTAATAGTACATAGTAAGTTTAGGTATGTACACAATATTATAAAGGGTGATTCACCAAGTATGATTTCCCCTTTTCTTGTTAAATAATGCAGTTGTTCAAAACATGATTTTTTGAAAGTTTTAAATAGACCTAAAGGCCATATTTTCAAACTATTGAGATTTGTTTGTACTTAAATAAGAGACCAGCGGATACAAACTTTTTTTTAGCATAACATATAAGCCCTTTTTTCTACTTCAAATTATTTAGAAGATAAATTATCTGAAAATCAAAATCAGAATTTGAATGAGCCGTTTTTGTGTTATATTTAACTTTGAGTACCTAGGATCTAGATACCAAGGGCAATTATACATTTTTGATAGTGGGTTTGGAAGATACAAGTAGATATATTATGATGATTTCAAAGTGATAGTAATTTATACTAATTAATTAACAATTATTATAATCAGTAAAAATAATCCAAACATAATAAATAATAAATACAACATTATTTCTTTTTTTATTTCTGTAAAACTAATTTTAACTATTAATTGCAACTAGTATCAACTTAGTATAAATATTTTAATAACTAAGAATCTAAAAGTTAACATTTTAAATTAGGCGAGTACATACAAATCTTTAAATAAAAATATCCACAAAATAATTTACAGCATAAAAGTGATGAGGTGTTCTCTCTTTGAAAAACAGAAGTTTGTATCATCGCAGAACACTCTTAAAGCAGTACAAATAATTTTAAGAATTCAAAAATACGGTCTTTAAGTTTAACATTGAAAATGTCCAAAAATCAGAATTTGATTAAATAAATTAGTAAACAAAAAAAATTGATGGTAGAACATGCTTGATTAATTACTCTGCATATTACATAAATGTTATCATGTTATAGACTGAAACGTTTTACGCTTTTGAGAATCAGAATACATTACAGGTCATCTGAATGCCGAGCGTTTGATCATCATTTTAATTTATATTACATAAATACGAGTATATGTAGCCATGTAGATAATATATTTTATAGTAGGTACACATAATAAGTACATAGAGTATTATAGCTGTTTTGGAACTATTCAACTCTAATACATTAGTATTTTCAAAAACAGGTAATCTTCACGCCTTAATAGGATATAATAGTTACCAATGTGACAGAAATCATTATTTGAGTGTATACTTTTTGCAGTTGTTTACGTTGTAATAAACTAAGGCGTACCTCATATGTGCACTCACATGCTGCTCAAAACAAGACTGTCCTGTTTTTTAGCATTAATCTACTTGTAAGTACTGACAAATTTCATACGGGATATATTTGTCAATTTTTAGTGGTTATTTCTGCTATCGCAATCATAAT